TAAATGGTTTTAGTGTCTGTTATCCTGACGCTCTGTTCGAGGAAAACATACAGTGTCCTGGCTGTCGCCAGAAGTAGTACCAAGAAGGAGGCTGGGTGGTTGGGTTGAAAGAAGTGGTTTGATGCCACCAGTGGGTGTCCAGAGCCTCTCTCTACTCCTCGTAGGAAGGTACAAGAAACTGTGGGACTCTGTATGACACTAGCAATGGTAGCCAGTGCTCAGAGCAGCTGCTCTTTACCATCTGGATAGTATCAATTCTGTGCTGAAGCAGATGGAGTTGAAGTTCTGGCTCAGCTTTGCACCCAGCCTGGGGATGAGTGCCATAGAAGAATCCCAAAGATGTAAGCCAGTCCTCTTGGAAGCAGAAAGGATCTTAGTTCTTTTTGTTTTGTTTTTTTTTCCACATGGGAAGGATATCATCATTTAAGAAGCTGTCAACATAGATGGGACAGAATTCTTCTCCAATTCTGGTAGTGTGGAATTAAGGAAAGAAAATTAAGTCAAAGAGCAGCATATTGATGCTGTAAGCACTGCTGAAGTGGCCCCAGGGAAGCCAACATATGGTGTATCCCTAACCTATGGTGTCACCAGAACAACCAGTGGAATTATTCATCATTAGCCTATTTTTGCTAATCTAAACAACTCTAAATCTCACTTGGGTCTCCTTTGTGAAGCTAATGAAAGCAGTAATCTCTGTTTCTAGAAAAATGCCTATAGTAAAGTATGGTTTCTGGTGGGGTAGTTCACCTCTGCCGTCTTAGTGTGAAAGCATCCATAGACCAGAAGAATGGTTTTGGTGGTGTTCTGATAAAACCTGATACTCAAAGACAGGCAGCAGGCCATATTTGGCCTCCAGGCTATAGTTTGTCAACCCCAGGTTTAGAAGATTGATAGCTATGCTAGATTGGTAAATTAATCAGCAAATACGCACTTACGTTCTCCTCCTCTTTGAGTGGAGCGTACATGCGAGCTCTGCTGCCTTGGGCATGCCTTGAGATATACTTTGGCTGACAGAATAGGACAGACATCATGTATACAGAGATTTTAAATGTATTAACATGATCTAGCTTGTTCCTGTGCTCTTGCCACTTGCCGTGAAAAGAACATGACCCAGATAGTCCTGGTCCAAGGAGGAAGACAAAGGTCAGACCTAGATCCAACACACAGTTTGAAGCCAAGTTCTGCTGCCCCCAGGAGCAGAGTTGCCTAGCTGAGCCCCAACTAGAGCAGCTGAACTTCAGGCAACCTGTAAGACCCGTGAGCTTGAGGATAAATGTAGATTGTGTTAAGCCACTGAATTTGGGGCAGTTGTTAATACAGCATAATTGTAGAAATACCTGGCTAATATTAGAGTACAGAGGAAGATAGTTATTCATCTAGAGAGGAAGACATGAATCTCATTTTCAAAAACTGAAACAACAAAAGGAGATTCTCATTTCCTCACACAAATCCCAGAAAAAGATAAGGAGATGTTTTTCTTTTTTTCTTAATAATTCTCCCGCCCCACTCCTCATCCCCCATACTTTCCGCATGGTTGGAATAAATCTTGAATTGTAGATTTAGGCTCCTGTGCATACAGCTAATCAATGCTTAACACAATCTTTAGAGAGGCTTAGTCTTCCTTAAGCCAACCCCAGAGAGGTTCTCAGTACCAAGAACTGAATATTTAATACTTCCAAAATTACATCTGGAAGAATATCCAGGCTCTTCCTTAGAAAAAAGTAGTTGTAGTCTCTTCAATTCAGAGAATTTTGAAAGCCAACTCTGCTGGTCTCTGTGATAGATGGTAGAATTAAATTAGTCGACCAGTTGTTTTGTTCCTGCTGTGTGCTGTATATTGTGGTGGTCCCTGGGACGCAGGAGTGTGCAAATCAAATTCAAGGCCTTCACAGAGCACACTGACTTGCCAGAGAGACAGGCGAATAAATGGATAATTAGGGCACATTGTAGTAAGCAATAGCAGAAGTGGCATATCCACAATCCTGGGGGAACTTGGAGGAGATATACTTGACCCTGCCTGGGGATTAGAATGTGGGGAGCATTTCAGTGAAGTCTTCCTGAAGGAATTCACACTTGAATCTTTTGGCAGGACAAGGTTAGCATGAAGTCCTATGATTGTAGAGTAGAAAGGGGCTTTATGTAGTTTCCTTCTCTTTTATACATTAAAAGGAAGCTCTCTTTCCCTTTTAAAAGTTCCCTCTGTCCTAGGGAGGGATCAGTCTGCTAGGAGTGTGCTCACAACAGTCTGTGCTTTGGGTAACTATTGTTGAAAGTATGCAAGTATCTATAAATTCTAGCTAGTTAGCAGTTCTGTGCATGCATCTGAAAAAACAGTGTAATGATTTTCATTTCTCAAGGCAGTTGTATACCATTGTATGATGTCATGTTTTAGTTTGAAATAGCCCCAGATTTCTAGGGTTGGTGTTTTGCTTTGTTACCATTTTTTATTCATGAGGAGTGGGCTCAGGAAAGGAGGAATGGATGAGACTGAGAAAATGATCTAATTACCTCGGAAGCGATTTTCTTCCTAAAAACAGCCCTGAGTTTCAGTTAAGAATTTGTTGGATGGTCTATACAGTTTAGTAGACTTCAGCATTTAAATTAATTTTTAAATATACTTGCTAATAGAATATTAGATTGGCTTAAAAACTACCTGGATTGCTTTTTCTTACTGTAGAATGCATGGTTATATAAATATGTCTATATTTATCCAGGTTCAAATTTAGAGAGCAATTCCAGTATCTTTTTGAACTTTGAAATATGTGTTTCATCACAGAAAACACAGTTACATTCCTTTTTACTTACTGTCCAGAATTAACTCTTAGAAGCCTGGAAGATAAATTTCGTGTTTTGCAAGCTTTGTTTTAAGAGCAGCTGTACTGGGGAATATGCCATTGGTATTCCTTCCCCTAGGATGGTAATGATCTCATTGAGAAAGAAATTGTGTAGAAATGCTTCAAGTTTTGGAAATTTATATTTTATTTTACAAAGCACTGAAGTGGACTCCTATTGAACTTTTCAAAATGTCCAAGATGAGGTTATCTACTGTCACCCAGATGTGTTGAGAAGGGAGGGAAGAGCCTCATAAAGTCCTGAGGCATCCGTCCAGGAATAAAACAATTTTACTTTTGAATTTAATCCTTCCTGTTGTAAATACTGTATGTGCAAAATAGGAAGTCTGAAAATACGGAAAAGGTAAATGTGGGAGGGCATATAATATCAGGCAGAGATAATCCGTATAACATTTGCCATGTTTCATAGGTACATTCCTCTAAAAATTTGGTTTTATTTTTACAAAGTTGTGAACATACTCTGTATGTGTGTGTTCCGTTTAATATTCAGATTTTAGTTACTATTATAACAAGCAATTTTCTAAGTTATACTTTCTAAGTATTTTAATGACTGCTGTGGCTGTACTATGATTTATCTAATCCCTTTTTGTTAGATACTTAGATTGTTTTCTAGTTGGAAGCATTATAGACATATAATGATGAAGTCTACTACACAGTTCCTGTATGTGTACATGTACATAAGTGTACAGCATTTTGAATCTTCACAAATCAAGACACCACTGAACTACTACCTGTGTCAGTAAATTATCGCTAAGTCATGAGTACAGCCATGCTAGCACTACTCAGGCAAGAAATGGAATTTGACCAAACTTGTGAGCTCTAGTCACTCTTCCCTCCCTCTTGCTCAGAGGTGATCACTAAGCCGACCTGTAACGACATAGATCAGTTTTTGTCCTGAAGTTCTGCAGCTTTTTTTCTTTAGATTTGCAAAGTAGGGTTACTAGCCCAAGAAGTATGAATATTTTAAAGCATCTTAGTTCATGTAACCAAATTGCTCTCCAAAATGTTATGTCATTTTATCAGCACATTGTATGAAAATGTGGGAAGGACTTTTGTTCCTCAATGTGGGAAGGGAGAGAAGTTCTGTTAAGGAGACAGTTCTGGACTGTGACAGGACCAAGCAGGACCACAGTGCTTTAGGGAAACCTCAGCAGTCTGTTTCCAAATTCTGTTTTACCCACCTTGAAAATGCTCTTTATCTGGCCATTGCCAGTCGCTGTGGCAAAAGCAAGGAGAACCAGTGCATGGTTCCTAGATCTGGATGAAAGTGGCACCCAAGCTTCTGCTTGCGTTCCACTGGCCAAAAAAGGCACATGAAGTCGGTAGAGCCAGGGGTATAGAATCTCCCATGGGGAGAAATGCTATAGGAGGGAAACAGGAATATATGGCAAACAGTAATACCGCCCACCATACTGTTTCCTGACTACCACCATACTGTTTCTCATGGTCATCCATGAGATCAGACCACTTAGATTACTAATCTTTTACTTGTACTGTAGAAGCACGTCTTGGTCTTGAGGAGAGGAGCTCCTGGATCTCTAGATAGAGCTGTAACTTGTGTAGTTAGCACAGAGGTGTTTGCATAATGCTGAATTTTTGAGGGGGGGGTGTACTTTTTTCCCAAGAGGAGACCTGGAAACATGCTTATTCATTATGAAGTGATGGGGAAATGCTAAAATCAGTTTATCAGATACTTTTGGTGGAAAGCAATTCCTCTTTAGGAAACACGTTTTTCCTGTCTCGTTTACACATTCTGGTTACGTGCCCTCTGGGGAGCTTTCAGGAAATGGTTTCCGGGTTCAGGAGTAACAACGCAGAGTTGGAGAGGTTTTCCCCCCTGCCCAGCAAAGGAACCGGCCATCTCCAGGTTATCAGTGAGACCTTTCTTGATGTGGTTAGCATCCTGTCTTCTCTCTTTAATTCTGTAAATTTGCATTCTTCTTTATTTCATTCATTTCTGTAACAGCTCTTTTGTAATATTGATTGATAACATCAAGGATTGCTTCTCTTCGCTTTCTGTTTATGTCTTCGTCAGAAGAAATGTCTTCAGTTAAGACACTGTTGTCAGAGAAACAGTTGCCCCATGGTGGGGGTAGCATGATGGTCTTAGGTGAGCTCTGATTTAACACAAAGCTCTCTTCTCTCTAGGGATGGTGAAGTTGGAGAAAGGCTCCTTTACCCCTCCTCCAGGATGAACCCCCTGCAAGAAGACATGGAGAGCGCTCTCACAGGGAGTCAGAGCCCTCACGCTTCTTTGCGCGACGTTCATTCCATCAACCCCACACACCTCATGGCCAGGATCGAGTCTTACGAAGGAAGGGAGAAGAAAGGCATATCTGATGTCAGGAGGACTTTCTGTTTGTTTGTCACCTTTGACCTCTTATTTGTAACATTACTCTGGATAATAGAGTTAAATGTAAGTGATTTTGCCCATGACTTTATATAAGAATTGTTTCCACAGACGAGAAACAATTTTCTTATTTTTCTCATCATTTCCGTCTCATTTAGTGAACTCCGTCTTTTTTCCAGAGGGGATAATATTTCTCTTTTCCACCTGATTTTGACTTTTCTTGTTCTGTACTGTCATGTTTTAAAGCAAAGCTAGTTCATTTAAAACTCACTTTGAAATTTGAATTCGTGGTGTTTTGCTCTATACCAGGAGTTAGCAAACTACAGCCTGGGGGCCAAATTCAGCTGGCCTGTTTTTATAAAGCTTTATTGGAACACAGCCCTGCCCATCTGTTTACCTATTGTTTATGGCTGGCTTTTGTGCTGAGTAATTGAGTTGAGTATTGGCCCACAAAGGCAAAAGTATTTATTTCCTGGCCCTTTTCTTGTTCCAGAAAATGTAGCATGCCTCTGGAATATGTTTTAGACGTTACATCTACTTTTCTAACCTCCATGTTTAAGATTTTTCATACATTTATTCTTTACTTTTTCACAAAGAGATTTTTCATATTTTATTGAAAAAAATGTTCTAGAACCATTTGGAGGTTCATGCCCATCTTATCAGGTCTTTGCGGTTATATTGCCAAATAATTGTCTAGGCCAGTACTGTCCAATGGAAATATAATGCAAGCCTCGTAGATGATTAAGTTCCCTAGTTGCTACATTAATAAAGGTAAAAATAAACAGGTATTAAAATAATACATTTTAATAATATATTTTATTTAACCCAATATATCTGTTTCCCCCCAAAGCCTTGGTTGGCTCTATTTACATTCCTTACAAGCAAATAGGTAACTCTTCCAGAATGCTTTCCTCACAGGCAACAATTGTTTAAAACCAAACAAGCCCAGTGATAGGAGACAGTAATTTAGAGTATCTCTTTTTATTATTTGTTCCGCATATGTACATTAAAGACAGTATTTAAATTAGTATATATTTCAAAGGAGTAACATGTTTTCAAAACTAAAAACTGTTTTCAAAACCAATCTTTTTTTTTTTTTAATATTTATTTATTTGAGAGAGAGGGCATGAGACGGGGGAGGGTCCGAGGGAGAAGCAGACTCCCTGCCGAGCAGGGAGCCCGATGCGGGACTCAGTCCTGGGACTCCAGGATCATGACCTGAGCTGAAGGCAGTGGCTCAACCAACTGAGCCACCCAGGCGCCCAAACTAATACATCTTTTAACAGGAAAGCATAGCAGCTTAGTGACAGTGGAAAATCAAAGCATTTATTGATGTACCACTAATATCACTCCCTGCTTTTAAGTGAGGGAAGTCATGGGGGTGGAGCTGCGGTGGGGTTCATGGGTCACACTCTTACTTCCTTCCTTTCTTATTGCTTCAACGACATTGAAATGGAAGTGAAGTGGACTGCACGCTATATTTGTGCATCAGAGAGGATCGGTGTTCATCAGAGGGGATCAGTTTTCATCTGTGTGCAACATGTTATAAATGAAAAATCAGCAGACCTAGCAATTAAGAAATGTATTTTTGTTTAATTTTTTATTAAAGTATAATGAACATATACAGTGTTACCTTAGTTTCAGGTGTACAACATAATGAGTCAGCATTCCTATACATTACTCAGTGCTCACAATCAGTGTAGTCTGTCACCAAGCAACCTTACTACTATCTCACTGACTGTATTTCCTATGCTGTACTTTTCATCTCTGTGACATATATTTTGTAACTGGAAGTTTGTAATTCTTAATCCCCTCTATCTGTTTCACCTATCACCCCACCCAACCTCCCCTCTGGCAACCATTAGTTTGTTCTCTGTATTTAAGAGTCTGTTTTTGTTTGTTTCTTTTTTCTTTGTTCATTTGTCTTGTTTCTTAAATTCCACATGTGAGTGAGATCACTTAGTATTTGTCTTTCTCTGACTGACTTTTTTCACTTGGCATTATCCCCTCTAGGTCCATCCACATTGTTGCAAATGGCAGGATCGCATTCTTTTTTATGGCTAATACTCCATTGTGTGTGTGTGTGTGTGTGTTTGTACACCACATCTTCTTTATCCATTCATCTGCTGATGGACACTTGAGTTGCTTCCATATCTTGGCTATTGTACAATGCTGGTAAACACGGGGGTGCATATGTCTTTTCAAATTAAGAAATGTGTTTTAAGGCTCACTTTTCCACGGACTGTCGGTTGCCCCAGTTGTAAAATAAAAAGGTCATACGAGAATATATGATCTTTAGGATAGCACATCTTGACTTTTTTTAGCAAGGTTTTATTTTTAAATCTTTTTTAATGTTCAATTTCTAGTTCTGTTTGTTTTAGATTGTCAGTCCTGACGTGGGTTTTTCACTGCACGCCATCCCTTTACTTTTGTGGTCTATCTCTGTAAATCATTAGGGACAGATTGGCTCTGAAGCTATGAAAGGAATCCCATGTAGGGTGGTGGGAGTAGAAAGGAAAAAGCTGATCTGAGAGACATACTCAAAAATAAGTATGCTGATAGACTTATTGATAGGCTGATTTTATCCATCCCTGGTATCCAGAAATGAATCTTAAGGTTTCTAATGATGGAACGTAGAAGAACAGGACCAGCTCTGTCAGAACAGTAAGAGGAGGTTCCATGTGAAACTAAAGATGAGTCTGTGGGGGACATCTTGAGACAAAGATTTTGAAATGGGAATTTAGAGTACAAGTTGAAGCTACAGATATAGATTTTAAATTTCTCTATTTAAATTTAGGCAACACAAAACCAGGGTCTCATTTTATTTTATTTTTTTAAAGATTTTATTTATTTATTAGAGAAAGAGAGAGAGCACACGAGCCGGGGGAGAACCAGAGTGAGAGGGAGAGAGTATCCCAAGCAGACTCCATGCTGAGTGTGGAGCCGGATGTGGGGCTTGACTTCACAACCCTGAGATCATGATCTGAGCCGAAAACAAGAATCGGCTACTTAACTGACTGAGCCACTGAGCGCCCCCTGCCCTGCAAATCAGGGTCTTTTAAAGTGTGCAGATACCATGGAAAGCCTTTTTCTACTGGCTCTTTATTGAAGAACTGTATCAGCATGTTGATTGCTGTTCTCTCAGCCAGGAGGGTAGTCTCTGTGCAGTAGAGAACCCCTCTTTGCTATAGGTCATTTGGAATAATCATTCTTTTAATATTTTGGATAGTGCTAAGTTTCCTTAGTCTGGAGAGCCACAGTGGTAAGACTACATTAGTTGGTTGGCTTTTAATAATTATTTCTCTTTGCTCCCAAGTTTTCTGTTCTATTTGCTTGTAAAAATCTATATTCAAGCAGGTCAGTAGGCAATCTGCACAAATTACACAGAAATCTAAACCTCCTTAAGGGATTTTTAAAGTACCCAGTGGTGTTTTATGGCATACTTTCATTTGAATAACAAATACAAATACTTGTAAAGGCTTCCAAGCCAAGAGGATCCTTTCCTTGTGGAAACTTTAATTCCAGTTTGACCAATTCGCAGGCCTTACAAAGGTGTTCCTTATTAATTTTTTCCCGCTTTATCCAGGTCTTGGGTCCATCGCCCTTCACTTTGTCCTTTTTCAGATCATCTCCATCAGTTTGCCAGGACAAACAATGTCTGTACTCCAAATTGGAAAGGTGAATTTACTGTTGCACGTCATGCTCCCTAATCCACGGGCCCTGACTGGTCTAGTGTCTGCTTGGCTGCTGCGTGAGCTGTCGGACACACATTCCATTACTTGATTTTTCTTTTTAAATATTTTCTGTAAGTGTAATACATAGAGTTCTGAACTTGCTCACTTAAAAGTCATCTTGATAGGAGAATTGGGAGAGGACAGAAAGTTTGTCGTCTTAGGTCTGATTTTCATCACTTACTGTAACTTCTGCACATAAGATTATAGGTCTGGTCTGCCCCTCATTTCATTATCTATCAAATTAAAAATCTTCATGAAAGTTGATGAGAGTGCAGGATTTTCAAATGCCAGGAGCAAATAAAAAAGAAAAACCAGAGAGAATATCTACACTTGTATCTCGTATTGTTGATCTTTGCTAAGATCAGAGGAGCTGTTGGCCTTCCAGGAGCTGAAACATGGAGGGTGGTCAGAGAGTGAGGGCAGAGCTGGATGAATGTGAATTGTCTTCCTTAAAATTATACATTGGTTTGATTGAAGACTTTATCTCAGAAGAGAAAAAGAATCGTTTTTTTAAACATTTTAGTTTGCCAAAATAGGAACTACAAACAAGGCATTGTTTTTCATTATGCATTTGTATTTGTCAAATGAATGAATTCAGAGTTGAAGTGGGAAATGCTCTTCAGCATTTTTCTATTAGAGTTAGGAGTGTTTTGTTCCTCCTATTTCAACATTCCAGGCTTCTGAGAAGGTAGGCAGAAAAGTGCTTACAAAACCTGACTTGTATGTTTTCTTGTATTGTTCTCACGTGTGCATCTCTCCTCATTTTTACTTCTCACTCTTCTTCCCAGGTGAATGGAGGCATTGAGAACACATTAGAGAAGGAGGTGGTGCAGTATGACTACTACTCCTCTTATTTTGATATATTCGTAAGTATTTCCTGTTTTACATTTCATTTCAGATATGATGAATCTGTAACCAGCAGGTAAATTTCCTCCGAATAGATCACATGTTCTATGCCATTCTCTTTCCCTCTCTCGAACACTGGCCTTCCTTTTCCCTCAGTTTCTGGCCCAGTCCGTATGCTCTCACTCTCTTTGTAAGGAACTGTCCAGTTACAGGAAGGAAGGACATGATTAGTGAGAGATAAGGAAGGGCAGCAGAAGGAGCCATTCTGCTTTTCTTGGAGGAGAGCCTTTATTCTTTTCATAGAAGCCAGCAACATACCCTAATCACTAACAGGAAAATTCCCCTTTTTATATAATAACACTGTGAAAATGCCATTCCTTTTCTGCCTTGAGATAGATTTCCAAGAGTACTTTTAAATACTGTGTTTTAATTTTTCTATGATTGGAGTTTTTGAGGAAAGTGATCTTTTGGTAATCCTGGACAACATCAGCCAGTTGCAGAATTGCACAGATGCAATTCTCTGTTGATGAGGCCTTCAGTTCATTCAAAGGAATGCTTAAATCTTTCCAGGACGCACTGTGACTCTCACTGGCCTTGATACATCTCCCTGGTATCTCTTTATAGTTGATGGTGTAAGTAAATCAGATCCTAACATTGTGTTAAATGCAGTGTAGGCGATATTCACAGTGAATTCCTCTAAATTCAGTTTACCTACTTTCTTCACTACCTTTAGAAGCTTTATGCAGAGTGGTTTAAGAGCAGGACCCTTAAAGTCAGAAAAACCTGGGTTTGATTCACAACACTGTCACTGTTTCTTTTAATATAGTGGGTCTAAACTTCAGTTTTTTCGTATGTAAAATGAGATCATCCTAGTTCTGAAAAGTAAATGAAGTAATGCATGGAAACCATTTAGCCCAATGAGCAATATGTTCTAGACGCTCAGAGAACCATCTGCAGTCATTACCATCACCATTATTTTTGGTTGAGAATTTTAATGATTGAGTAATTATATTTTTAGTGGTTTTCGAACTACACTAGAAAGGCTTTTTGTTGCTGTTTTATTTCCGAAGGGGCCTGCAGAAGTGTGTATGGGGAAGGAGGTGGGACTCCCAATAAAGAGAGGTTAGGGTTCCCTGTCATAAGCCCCATTCAGCACAAGTAGTTCTGTTTTTATCTGTACAGTATGTTTCCAATAAGATTGTGTTGAACAAGTGTTTGGTTACTACAGAATATTTGGAAAACCACTAATATAATTTAATCCCCTCATTTTTCCAAACAAGGAAATTGAGTTTCTTTGGTTCAGTGTCTTGACCCACCCCAGGTCGTTGAAGTTGGGGGCAGAGCACGTTAGATCCCAAATCTTGACATTTTTTTCTTCTCAAAACTATTGACATATAATAGCAAGATTGATTTCTCTTTTTTCTCTTCTTTGTCTTGCTGAATTTATCTTAAAATAGCCTCAGCCAGGAAACCAGGCTAATCTACCAGCCAGATCTCCAAGGGTTGTCTGTCCTTTATGCTTGGGGAGTCAGTGGTACTGGCCAAATAGGCAGGGCCCATTAGTTCAGACTGGAAAGACTGGCATGTCTGGCCTGGGAAATGGACATGGCCTCCAGGAAACCTTGGGACCTGGAAGACTTTGAGATAGAGGGCTGACGAAGACTTACCCTTTTGCCAAACCCAGAATTCGGGGATAGAGCTGGAATGAATAGAGAGGCTAAACAGTTCACATACTGTTGGAAAACACATTTTTAATGAAAACAGCAAATTAAAAACAAAATCTAACTTGTACCTTCATTTACATAAAAGAATCGTAAGTGTGGTCCTCTGGTCAGTGGCCGCAAAAAAGCTGTCAGCCTCCGGCCTTTCAGCAGTTTTGATTAGTGAGGAACTTTTGGCAGAAAGAACCCTGCCCTCAGGCACTGCTCAAGAGTCACCTGACTTCTCCCTACCCACAAAAGGCATGTCTTCCAAGGAAAATCAGTAAAATCTTATTCTATGTGTATTTCTTACTAGGTGAGAATTACAAGGACAGCTGTGACATAGTGGTTCAGTAGAGTCCAGCCACCGGGGTTCAAGTCCCGGCTTCCTCACTAAGGAGTTGTGTGACTTTGTGCAATTTTTCTATCCACCTTATGTGCATAATGGGATTAATGATAGCAGTTGATAACGCATGGGATTGTTGAGGAAGGGATTACATGGGATAATAATACACATAAAGGGTTTCACAAAAGTCCCAGAGCCACCCTAAATAACCGGGTGGTAGCTACTCGGATAGAACTGTCCCAATACCCCCGCAACCCAGAGCTTTATGGTGGACTTTACTAAGAACCTGGTATCTTCCAGAGGTGAGCGTTTGTACCAGGAGTGGAAAAGTCAACTTTCAGAACATTTTCTCCAGTCTTAAAAGGGTATCAGAAATATATGTGCACTCAAATAGAAAGGAAAAATAAAACATGTAATTATATATTCTTGTGTTGGTAATGGGACGTGAATTTGAACCCTTATTTGGGCAGCATTGCACAGATTCTAAAGCAGGGATCTGAATATAGGTCTACAGCCCAGTGCCAGTCTTCAGTTAAGTCAGAATAATAAAGACGCTTTGGTGAGTTCTTCGTAAAACTCAATTATTTTATATTTGTATCTTTTTTAAAACTTACCTTGTCTTTTTTTTTTAATATAGCTTTTGGCAGTTTTTCGGTTTAAAGTGTTAATACTTGCATATGCTGTGTGCAGACTGCGCCATTGGTGGGCCATAGCGGTGAGTAGGTTTGTGTGAGTGGTTCGTCTCCTCCAGTGCTACTCACGACAGGGACGGGCTGGGGGAGAATGCGCTTTTCATCTGGGTGGAACTCTGCTAGCTTCTCCTGAGTCCCCTTCCTCCACCTTCAGTAGGTTCAACACGCCGGGGCAGCTTTCCAGTGGTGATGAGTAACTAGCTGCGTCTCAGTGGATACTGAGCCAGATGAGGAACATAGGGCACCAACAGTGATGCTTGGCCAAGCACCAACGCACCATCCACCTCACTTTGCAAATGAGTGTTGAGATCAGCACCTGTGTCGCAAAGATACTTGGAAAATTTCCCCTTTGGTTGAAACTGCTTGGTAATTTTTCATGACTCGCTCTCTGCTTATTTTGATAATTGTCTTTCTTGCTATTTTATCCCCTCCCTCCAATATTAAAGGGAAAAGTTCCCATGCTCCTTTTTATTGTTGCCTTCAGGCTTCTTGAAGGCAGTGGTGTTTTTAAAGATTTATTTACTTTAGAGAGAGAGAGAGAGCATGCAAGGGGAGGGGGAGAGACAGAGAACCTGAAGCAGACTCCCTGCTGAGCTCCGAGCTGGATGCGGGGCTCGATCTCTCAACCCTGAGATCATGACCTGAGCCAAAACCAAGAGTCAGATGCTTAACCAACTGAGCCACCCAGGCACCCCCGAGGATGGTGGTGTTTTTGCTCATCTCTGTTTCTTTGCATCTGGCTCGGAGCTTTCGCACATGCTTTTCACTGTCAGTAAATATTTACTGGTTGAAAGAAGAATTATAAGCCTTTCTGCCTCAATTTTTTGCCATTTCTGCAGATATCTGAACACTTGCCTTTCGGAGAGCTCTAATAAGCCAGGTGTATGGGGGGAATGTTGAGCCCCCCCAGCTGGAGAGAACTGCTCAGGAATACCTGCAGTCCTGCTTCTGGAGTGAGGCCTCGGGGTGTGTGTGGGGGCCGGCATGGCTAGCCCAGCTGAGGACAGACTCTCTCCTAAGACACAGTCCACTGGGAGCCACATCAGCCTGGGGCTTCTCTTCTGAGCATCCCCAGAATCATAGGACTGACATCAGACCATCAGCTGAGCCACATGCTAATGTGTCTCAGATGTAGGCTGACAGTATTAGCCAGACTTGACTCCCTTTCCTGAATACATTTTTGCTGGTAACAAATTGCTGTGATTGTCCGTTCCCAGTTTTCTACAGCCGTCCCATTTGAGACGTTCTACTCCAGAGTCTCCTTAATGTACACTAGTGTTTGTCAGACCATCTGTCTCAGTATTTGTTCAGAGGAGTGAGTGACTTTCAGTGAGTTTTTAGAAAGTATCTTCAATATCTATTTTTTAAATTTTTAAAATTTTTTTAAAGATTTTACTTATTTGTCAGGGAGAGAGAGAGCACAAGCAGGAGGAGCTGCAGGCAGAGGGAGAGGGAGAAGCAGACTCCCCGCTGAGCAGGAAGCCCCATGAGGGACTCGATCCCAAGACCCTGGGATCATGACCTGAGCCGAAGGCAGACGCTTAACCGACTGAGCCACCCAGGCGCCACAAGTATCTTCAATATCTTAACCAAATTATGAAGTGATGGATCATGATTAGCACATCCATTTGATTATTTTTGATTTTTCTTTTTAAAAACATTTGCAGAGGGGCAGGAGCCAGCTGGAAGGAGGACTAACCTAGTACCTAAAAAGGTACTAAGTGTCAGCCTATAAAGTTAGTGTCAGAATGTAAAATGCCTCCTCTTCCAGGAAGCTCACTGGCTGCAGGGTGTGTGTGTGTGTGTGTGTGTGGTGATTTGCTAACCAATGCTGGCTCTGCAACTGTGTTAATACTTACAGACTTCACACCCGATGTCCCCTGACCCCATTCTGTCAGTCAGGCTCCTGTTGGCATCACTCTGGGCAGGTGTCATGTCGCTAGGAACCCTAGTTGGGGGATGAGGGACAAGGTCCTGCGGGATGATCTCTG